AACGGGTGGGACTACAATGGCGTCCGCAAAGAACACATCCACAAGCGCTGGACCATCTGCCCCCGGGGAGGGACGACCTGTACAGCAACCTACTCCTCAGTATATGCACATAAAGGGAGCGCCATGGTTTTTGGACTTCGTTGTTCAGGGCGACCTTTTTGGGCCAGCTGTTTTCATGCGACCCACTTGCATTACAGACGCTGGGGGAGCGGTCAACGTTCTTCCTCTCGGTACCGTCATCTCGTGTGCGAAGATTCCTAGAGGTTTGCTCAAGCTGCACACTAACGGCGTGTACGACGAGTGCAGACTGCCTATCAGAGGTGTTAAAGGTGTGCTGGTGACCATCAAGAGTTTCACGGGGTACGGCTCAAACATGTCGTTGTGCTCTCACTTCAAAGGTCTTTACGATGGCGGAAACAAGCGTCTTCCATCGCCAGAGCAATATCTCGATCTCGCGGTGATGGTGCCAAAAGAACGTTCGGTTCTTCCGCCAGAGCATGTTTTCTGGCTTCTGCCACCCCGTGAGGGGTCGTCCGGCTTGGCTCAAGAAACTCCAGGTACGGCAGTGGGGCGCAGGAGTCCGATTCAAGACGCTGGGGGTCGGGTCAAGGGACGCAGCGTTCACACGCAGGTCGGCCAGGATGCTCCTAGGAACATGTCGGACTTGCATTCTCAGGGTACAGGGACTCAACGGGTCGGTACTCCGAAACTTATCAAGGTTCACTGCAGCGCCGACACGTATTCGCTTCGAGATGAGACGAGAAGAGATTCAAGCAGATCGGGGCTAGATGTTGGAGGGAATGAGGCTGAAGGGATGGGCGCTGTCCGCGAAAGCTCTGGAGGGGAGCAGACTCCTTCGGAGAAGAAGAGCGAGCGACAAAGGATGGTGTGAGAGGAGGTGGCGGAAGGAACCCTCCGCATGAAGAGGATGAGAGGAAAACCGAAGGCGTTGATGGGCGGGGATGGAGGTGGCGATGGAGAACGTGCCTCGTGAAAGAAGCCGACGAACGAAGAGGGTGGGACGACAAGTAAGAAAGTGAGGAGGCCAGGCGGTTTGACCATCCGCGAAGGACATGCCGCGGGTGGAGGAGATTCGGTTGATCGAGGCGCTGCGGCTGCGAGAGAACCTTCGGGGAAATCGAAACGGAAAGTGGCAGCTGAAGAAGGCGATGGCCAGAAGAAACCTCGAAGGCGGAAGACTGCTGAGGCGGCGAGCGGTGGCGAAGGGCCTGTCAGTCGGGAGTGCGACGAAGCGGCAGCGTTCTGGCTCGAATACGAGCGGAACGATGTTGGTGAAATCGTGGAGGAGCTCCCCGTCCAACTGCTCATCGACCCCAGGAAGGTCTGCGACATCTCGCCTCGGGAAAGATATTACAACCACCGCAGTCTAAGTCGCGAAACTGTGGATGACATCAAGGATGCGATGCTGAGTCACTTCCGCGAGAAGAAGATCTGGACGAAAAACCCTCTCGTTTTGGCACCCATCTACAAGTCGGTGTYGCGTAGGCCGGAGCAAGCAGACAGGGTTCACAAAGATGTCTTCAAGCCAGAGGACAAGGACAAGTTCTACTATTACCCTATTAACGGACAACACACCGTGGCTACTGTGAGGGAGTTGGAGGGTGAGCAAATATTCGATTTGTGGAAGATGCACTCGTGGCCAGCGAGAGTAGTGTGGTTCTCTGACCGAGATTTTGCGGGGTATAGGCAGGTCAGTCTCAACGAAAACACGAGACACAAGATGTCTAAGCAGCGGTCGCAGAAGGCCGCGTTCTTGGACATGCGGGAGGCATGGGAGAACGAAGGAAGGCCGATGGCCATTCAAGGGAACCCTTCTGGCAAGGAGGCCGAAAAACAAAAGTTCTTTGATTTCCAAAAGCTTATTTTGGGATAGAGTCCGAACGGAGCTCACTGGACGTTAGCACAAAAAGATTCGTCGCTCACCGACAAGGACTATGTCGTTGCAGTTGGCAATGCATTGAGGCAGTGGATGCCGCTCGTGACGGCCGACGACGATGTTTTCCGCAAAACCATGAAATTCTACACGAAATGGGCGGAGGAGAAGTTGTTGGGCGGCGACGGCAAGACGACATTGTCGAGGCCGGGCAAATACATGCCAGACAAATCTCCAGGTCTGCAAGCAATTTCGGAAATGGGCTCGAAAGGGGCGGCTGGTGAAACGAAGATGGGGTGGTTGGTCCGGGTTCCGGCGCCTCCGACCAAAAAGAAAACGCAAGCGGACGACAAGTTTTTCGTGGTCGTGAAGGAGCCAGACATGATTTGTTGGAAGTGTCTCGCAGACATGACCGATGTCGAGAAACTGTCGATCCTTGACGACATTCTCGCGCTAGGGGAACAGCGAGAAATTTCAAGTGCCAAAAAATACGCACTTTAGAGGAACATTTCGATTACGCCRTGCAATAAGAAATTGCCTTCGTGATTGGTTCAGTGGCGAGTTAACTCGCAAATACAAAACGACTTATTTCTTTTGGGCCGAGAAGATACGCGAATTATCGACTAAAGGGGAACAAATTTAGGGGGATGGATCGTTGAAGAGCGAATAAATTCGCACTTGCGAACGAGCATTTCCATTATGAAACTGGGGCTTGTGGACTAAAGAGTCAAAAATTTGGGGGGATGGCTGGTTGAAGAGCGAATAAATTCGTACTTGCAGACGAACATTTCCACTATGAAACTGGGACTTTTGGACTGTCGAGTAAGAAATTTAGGGGGATGGTTGATTGAAGAGCGAATAAATTCGCACTTGCAAACGGGCATTTTCATTACGAAACGTGGGGTACAAGTGCGAGTTAATTCTGACCTATGGACTAAACAGTGACAAATTAAGGGGTTGGTTGGTTCAAGAGCGAATGAATTCATACTTGTAAACGAGCATTTCCATTACGAAACTGCGGGTACAAGTGCAAGTTGTTTCCGGCTTGTTCTGCGTGTAGTACGAGCCACAGATCRTCGCAAGAGAGAAATAGGGAAAGATGGCGTGCTATTTTTTAAAATGGAGAAAGATTGCGAAGCGATGGGCAGACGACGCATCCATGAAAATACATGGACAGAGATGGCGCACCGAATGAGAGAGATGGCGCACCAAGTGAGATGGATGGAGTCACAGTCTTCCCCCGRWTACAACGTCCGGTCAYTACAGYTGAATTCGGGTCAWCTTTCAGTCTAAAGACAACTGTAATGAAAGTGCGTCGTATATTCCGGGGAAGAAGGTGGATGGCGCAGGAAGGGAAAGAGATCGCGAACTCATTGGGAGGTGTGCCGCAGCGAGAGAGAGAGATTGCGCACCGATGGAGAAACATGGCGCAGCAATGGAGATAGCAAGCGCARAGATGGTTAGCGATAGCACATCAACGGAGAAAGATGGCGCACCGAAGCAGATAGATGACGATGGAGATAGATTAGGAAAGATAGCRCAGCGATGGAGATAGATRAYGAAGGAGATAGATTAGGAAAGATAGCGCAKSGAAGGAGATGGATGACGAAGGAGATAGATTAGGAAAGATACCGCAGCGATGGGCATAGATGACGAGAGGTCGGTAGAGATCGCGCATCGGTGGAGAGAGATGGAAAGAGGACGTGCAACAATGGTTAGCGATGCCGCAACGATGGAGAGAGAAGGCACAACGATGACCAAGATTTGTTATTGCACAACATCAGTTCCATCGAGTTAAACCTTCGTTAAGCATACATGTCACCTGTTTCGTACGATTCCACAGTGATGGGCGGCTGCACCGACGACGGCTTGAAACAACAATACAATGGCGATGGGGGGATCGCGCACGAGTAATGGAGAGTCTCTGGGGCAAGGATGGAGGTTGCCCGGTTGTCGAGATAGATCGCGCAGTGATGGAGTGAGATGGAGAGTGATCACTCAACGATGGAGGGAGATCGTGCGACGATGGAGAGAGAAATCGCGCAGCGCTGAGGTGGGATAACACTGGCCAGGGCTTTGATAGCGATGGCCAGCCCTGCGGTGGAGAGCGATGGCGCACCGGTGGAGAGCGATGGCGCGGCGATGGAATGCGTTACAATGCAGCGATAGCGATAGCGATGGCAGCGATGGAACAACGATAGCGATTGCTCAGCGATGGTGCACCGGTGGACAGCGATGGCGCAGCGGTGGAGAGCGATGGCGCAACGATGGAACAGCGATGGAACAACGATAGCGATGGCGCAGCGATGGAACAGCGATATCGAAGGCAGCGATAGCGATGGCAGCGATAGCGATGGAGCACCGATTGAGAGATGGCGCAGCAATGGAAGCAACGTTGCCATGGCAGCTATGGTACCAGCGTTGCGATGGCGCAGCGATGGCCAGCGCTGCGATGAGAGCGATGGCGATTGTTAGTGCTGCGATGGTCAGGCGAGCGCGACGACTGCGATGGGGGATATAGCTTTGCGTCACGATGGCGATGAGCTAAGCGCATCGATGGCGATGGTGCATGGCGAGCGTTGGCGATGGCGATGAGCTAAGCGCATCGATAATGATGGTGCATGGCTAAGCGCATCGATCCGTTGACATTTGCAAAATGTCCGAATGACAGCAACACCGGAACTTGTAGATTTCCGGTGTTTTTGACCTCGGCGCACAACGAATCGCCGCGCCTCGGCGGGAAATAAACCGTCGCCTGGCCTCGGCACGCAACGAACCGCCTCGGCGCACAACGAATCGCCGCACCTTATAGATTCTTGCACCTTACCTCGTGCGTCGGATCATGCCCATCGACGGTCCAGATTACAACTGCGAAAATGACATTGCCTGCCCCTTGTTTTCGGGAACTGTCACATCATTGCACGCCAGAGTAGACGAAGATTTTGGGGCCACTGGCATAACATTGGCTCCGTTCATCTGCGCGGTTGAAAATTGTTGATCGACGGCTGACAATTTCCGGTACCCCTTACCGTTTATAGGCCCTGGCGTTTCATTGGCCCAGGGGTGCGATACGCGAATCGATTCGGCCCCACCTAGATGGCATTTTATGGGCCCAGGAGTGCAATATGCGAATCGATTCGGCCCCACCTTGATCCCGACGTGAGGCCTGCTGCAACAAAGTATAAAAGGCGTTGCAGCCCTCCAGTTATCCCTTTTGTTGGCGCCCCACAGATCAAGTCGCGCTATCGCTTCCGCGCACGTTCTGATATTTGGTCTTCAGCCTCCACCACCTTCCGCCATAGCCCGCTCACTCTTCGCTCTTCGCTCCGTCCGCAGTTGCCACATTGTGTTCGGTTCGCTCTTCGCTCCTCGGTCTTCGCTCTTCCTAGCTCGATATCCCTCCACCATAGCTGGTTCGGTGGTTGGTTGCTCGTTCAACGCACGACGAAGGTAAAATCATATAACTTGAGTTGTCCTATTCTTTGTCCRACGTCCGAACACATTCCCAGATGCCCTGTCTGTACCTGCAGGATATAACGCCGCAGCCGCGTTCTGTTGAACCCCGAATCAATTCCCGGTTTTGTTGTTTCGCCAGTGGACGTGCTCTGATCTCTTTTCTCCACCCTCCACCTCCGTCCGCCATAGCCGATCCGCGTTCCGCAGCTCGATTACCTTTCGCCATAGCCACGATAACGTTCGTATAAAGCTGCTCGATCCCTTTCGCAACGTGCAGTCGTCGCTGCGCATGGCGAACCCCGAATCAATACCTAGTTTCTACACTGAACACCGAATCAATTCCCGATTTTCGCTCACCTGTCCCTTGTGAGGTCGCCGACCTGATACCTACATATATATATTTAAAGATATATTGCTACACTGAACACCAAATCAATTTCCGATTTTCGCTCACCTGTCCCTTGTGAGGTCGTCGACCTGATATATATATATATATATACAGAGAGAGAGAGAGAGAGAGAGAGAGAGAGAGAAAGATATTGCGAGTTAGTTCGCAGTTTGCGACGTACAGTGTTCGAGGAGTGACAACTGCGAGGTTATTCGCAGTTTTCCCAAGGTTAGACACATATTTCATTGAAGGAAGTTCTTTATTTCCACAAATGCGAGTTAGTTCGCACTTTTTGAGCAACACTGCTGGAGAGTTGACAACCCAACCCGTGCGGCTTTCAGGTCTTCGGTTCCACAATTTCGGGTTAGTTCGTACTTTCCCCTAGTGCTGCGCATCGCCATTATTGTCTTGTCTACAAAACTGCGAGTTAGTTCGCACTTATCGAAAACCTTCGCAATTTACGATAAACCAGGACTTCAGTTCCACGATTCGGAGTCAGTTCGTACTTTCCCGTTGCACTTCGGGTTGCAATTGTCGTCCTGTGAGCAGAATTGCGAGTTAGTTCTCACTTATCGATTCACACTTGTCGATAAACCACATCTTACTCGTTTCGTGCGTCTTTCAGGTCTTCAGTTCCACAATTCCGAGTTAGTTCGCACTTTCCCCTAGTGCAGCGGGTTGCCATTGTTGTCTTGTCCACACAACTGCGAGTTAGTTCGCACTTGCGAAAGATAGAACTGCGAGTTAGTTCTCACTTGTCGATTCGCACTTGTCGATAAACCACACCTTACTCGTTCCGTGCGTCTTTAAGGTCTTCAGTTCCACAATTCCGAGTTAGTTTGCACTTTCCCCAAGTGCAGCGGGTTGCCATTGTTGTCTTGTCTTTTGAACTGCGAGTTAGTTCGCACTTGTCGACACCCTTCGCACTTGTCGATAAACCACATCTTACTCGTTTCGAGGGCATCTAGTTGGGTTGCAATCTTTCCGAACAGTTATCGTCTTCCCTCCGAACTTTTGTCTTTCCTATCCTTCACCCGATTGTTGTGACTTCGTGTGCATTTCGAACACCCATCTCTTACGTCCTTTTCGTCCACCATTTCGTTAAGTCCGAGTTAGTTCGCACTTCGCTTCTGTAGTGGTCTGGGGTTGGGCGTATTAGTCATCCGAGTTGGTCTGAGGTTGGGCGTGCTAGTCAACAGGTGGGACTACAATGGCGTCCGCAAAGAACACATCCACAAGCGCTGGACCCTCTGCCGTCGGGGAGGGACGACATGTACAGCAACCTACTCCTCAGTATATGTACATAAAGGGAGCACCATGGTTTTTGGACTTCGTTGTTCAGGGGGACCTTTTTAGGCCAGCTGTTTTCATGCGACCCACTTGCGTTATAGATGCTGGGGGAGCGGTCAACGTTCTTCCTCTCGGTACCGTCGTCTCGTACGCGAAGATTCCTTGAGGTTTGCTCAAGCTGCACACTAACGGCGTGTACGACGAGTGCAGACTGCCTATCAGAGGTGTTAAAGGTGTGCTGGTGACCATCAAGAGTTTTGGGGGGTACGGCTCAAACATGCCGTTGTGCTCTCACTTCAAAGGCCTTTACGATGGCGGAAACAAGCGTCTTATATCGCCAGAGCAATATCTCGATCTCGCGGTGATGGTGCCGAAAGAACGTCCGGTTCTTCCGCCAGAGCATGTTTTCTGGCTTCTGCCACCCCGTGAGGGGTCGTCCGGCTTGGCTCAAGAAACTCCAGGTACGGCAGTGGGGCGCAGGAGTCCGATTCAAGACGCTGGGGGTCGGGTCAAGGGACGCAGCGTTCACACGCAGGTCGGCCAGGATGCTCCTAGGAACAYGTCGGACTTGCATTCTCAGGGTACAGGGACTCAACGGGTCGGTACTCCGAAACTTATCAAGGTTCACTGCAGCGCCGACACGTATTCGCTTCGAGATGAGACGAGAAGAGATTCAAGCAGATCGGGGCTAGATGTTGGAGGGAATGAGGCTGAAGGGATGGGCGCTGTCCGCGAAAGCTCTGGAGGGGAGCAGACTCCTTCGGAGAAGAAGAGCGAGCGACAAAGGATGGTGTGAGAGGAGGTGGCGGAAGGAACCCTCCGCATGAAGAGGATGAGAGGAAAACCGAAGGCGTTGATGGGCGGGGATGGAGGTGGCGATGGAGAACGTGCCTCGTGAAAGAAGCCGACGAACGAAGAGGGTGGGACGACAAGTAAGAAAGTGAGGAGGCCAGGCGGTTTGACCATCCGCGAAGGACATGCCGCGGGTGGAGGAGATTCGGTTGATCGAGGCGCTGCGGCTGCGAGAGAACCTTCGGGGAAATCGAAACGGAAAGTGGCAGCTGAAGAAGGCGATGGCCAGAAGAAACCTCGAAGGCGGAAGACTGCTGAGGCGGCGAGCGGTGGCGAAGGGCCTGTCAGTCGGGAGTGCGACGAAGCGGCAGCGTTCTGGCTCGAATACGAGCGGAACGATGTTGGTGAAATCGTGGAGGAGCTCCCCGTCCAACTGCTCATCGACCCCAGGAAGGTCTGCGACATCTCGCCTCGGGAAAGATATTACAACCACCGCAGTCTAAGTCGCGAAACTGTGGATGACATCAAGGATGCGATGCTGAGTCACTTCCGCGAGAAGAAGATCTGGACGAAAAACCCTCTCGTTTTGGCACCCATCTACAAGTCGGTGTYGCGTAGGCCGGAGCAAGCAGACAGGGTTCACAAAGATGTCTTCAAGCCAGAGGACAAGGACAAGTTCTACTATTACCCTATTAACGGACAACACACCGTGGCTACTGTGAGGGAGTTGGAGGGTGAGCAAATATTCGATTTGTGGAAGATGCACTCGTGGCCAGCGAGAGTAGTGTGGTTCTCTGACCGAGATTTTGCGGGGTATAGGCAGGTCAGTCTCAACGAAAACACGAGACACAAGATGTCTAAGCAGCGGTCGCAGAAGGCCGCGTTCTTGGACATGCGGGAGGCATGGGAGAACGAAGGAAGGCCGATGGCCATTCAAGGGAACCCTTCTGGCAAGGAGGCCGAAAAACAAAAGTTCTTTGATTTCCAAAAGCTTATTTTGGGATAGAGTCCGAACGGAGCTCACTGGACGTTAGCACAAAAAGATTCGTCGCTCACCGACAAGGACTATGTCGCTGCAGTTGGCAATGCATTGAGGCAGTGGATGCCGCTCGTGACGGCCGACGACGATGTTTTCCGCAAAACCATGAAATTCTACACGAAATAGGCGGAGGAGAAGTTGTTGGGCGGCGATGGCAAGACGGCATTGTCGAGGCCGGACAAATACATGCCAGACAAATCTCCAGGTCTGCAAGCAATTTCGGAAATGGGCTCGAAAGGGGCGGCTGGTGAAACGAAGATGGGGTGGCTGGTCCGGGTCCCGCCGCCTCCGACCAAAAAGAAAACGCAAGCGGACGACAAGTTTTTCGTGGTCGTGAAGGAGCCAGACATGTTCTATTGGCAGTGTCTCGCAGACATGGCCGATGTCGAGAAACTGTCGATCCTTGACGACATTCTCGCGCTAAGGGGAGTGTTCGTGCAATCCGCGGGCGGCCATCTGAAGCGTCAGCATAAACCAGGAATTAAAGACAGTGCGCGACGACGAAAGTGGACCGTGTGATGCTCCGTATGTTCCACTACATCTTGTTCCTTGAAACGGAGGCGGACGAACGTGTTTGGCGCTACGGGAGCCTTTTTTTTTGCACCGAGGAGCGGCTTCTGGAGGAGTTCGGGCCGCAGGGCCTCACGAAACAGGTGTGGGTCGAAATGCGAAAGCATTTCCAGGGCGCGGTGGAGTACGTGAGCACTTGCAAACGTACTCTTCCGCACGAGAAGGAGCCCCTCGACGACGCGAAGAAATTGTACGAGGACGACAGGTTCCCTAAATCTTTCGAAAAGTCTGTCCGTTTCATCTTGCGACGGACGGAAGAAGAAGTTCGAGACACGATCAGGGTCAGCGGGGATGTGAGGCACATCAAATGGCCCGACCTCAACCGGGTGACCAGCCTTATTCCTTTCGCTTTTCCGCCTTCCCAAGCTCACA